AGACCGAGACCGAGACCAAGGAAAACGGTCTCGAGACCGGTCTCGAGACCAAGACCGGTCTCGAGACCTACAACACTGATTCCTGGCTGGTGCCTTACATTAACAGCCTTATGGGAAACCTTATTGCAGGTGAAGGTGCAGGGACAGAATCAAGAAATGTTGGCCTCAGCGTGCCAACAGTTTCTAGGGAAGTCCGAGAAGGATATTATGCACATTGCCCATGAGACCCTTGAGGGACACCAGAGGGCGATAATGGGAAATATGACAGTAGAGGTACACTTAGGTGGAGACACTAACATCTACTAGAACCTAACTAGTGCTCAATCACATAGGACATTGATGAAATAAGTTTATGTGAAGGGTTAATACTATATTTGCTAGTAGATCGTACACATGGGCACATGCTCACATGATCGCAAACACGCACATATCTGTTTAGGAGATATATATGGACAGGAAGAAATTCTCCCAGCACGTCTTCGAGGTTGCCTCGTCAGATCTGGTGAACATGGGCATAGCCGTTGTCAGCTACACTCTGAAGGACATTCAAGATGCTGAGGTAGAGGGCTGTTTGCATGACAGTGTTCTCGGGAAATCCAAGTAAGAGATGAGAATTACGACTGAGTTTGTTCTATTGTAAACACGAGGCTGTGATAGCAAGCATCCAAAGTATATATCAGTGTCCTAGCAGGGATGGAACCTGAATTTTATTAAGGCAAGTCAGATCTTTTAGGGCATATTATTGTGATGTTAACTAGGAGCAATGTAAACCAAAGCACATGTGAATATCTTGTTGAAAATCGTCGTCATGCTATTGTAGATTCTTTATATCATGACACTCAGAGATCCTGTTTGTTGCTGGTGTTAGTATTGCAAATGAAAATGTAGTTGACAGTAAAATGATCGACGTGGGTGTTGTCTATCTTACAGGGTTACCTGAAATCTCTCGGAAAGGCAAGAATATGCCAGGTGCATCGAGATGCACGTATTGGCGAGGCAGAGGCACAGAGAGATTCTGGAATCAGAGTAAAATTTCTATGAGTTTCCGAATAGCTGAACACCTAGGGGCCAACTGTCAGAAACAAAATTAGTGTTAACATTAGTCATAACATTGGCTTTTTCTCGTAGACCAGACCTCTATAAACATTACATCGTTACATCGAAACTCGTAACTTCACAATGTTTCTGTCGACTGTCTATGAGAAAAAGTTAATGTTAATACTGATTTTGGTTGTAACAACAGGCTCCTGTTAAGTTTGTCTACATCAACCACTGTCCACGGCAGCTGGTTGTTTATCATATGCTGAAAAGAAGAACATAATTGATGCTATGTCAAGTAAGGGTACAGTTAAGCTTGTATTACTGGACACACCTTTATAGAAGCAACACCTGTCTATAAAGAACACCTTTCCCTTGAGTGACTTCTATATGCAGGTTTGAATGTATAAGTAACTTGCTACGCGATTCTCAGGTGTGCAGGTATAGCTCTCCTGTTCTGAAGAGTAGGACCTTTTCCTTTCTGCTTAACCACACCTATGCAGGCAGTCTGCAGACCTGTGTATGTTCCTTAGTTCAATTGTCCTATCATACCCTGATACATGAATAATCATCACCATCTCCCTATCCCTGTGGATAACCCTAACCTAACTGTAATTATAATGTAATCCTAACCACATCATTAATATCAGGAGTCCTAAAATGGCATTGAACTCATTTCTGTGTAGCAATCCCAAGCCGAGGAACAGCACATGAAGGCCAGATTCACGAACGACACTGAGATAGCGCAGGCACAGCGCGACTTTGAGCTAATGAAGGCCAACTTTGACATTGAGGTCAATTCGAAGAAAGCGCAGTCTGAGCTGGCTTATGACTTGCAGGTACGTATCATTGACACTACTCTTGTACTTGATCTGTGAGGTTTACATAAAAAATTGCCTGATGAAGAAGCACTAATGTGGCCCAGTGCAAAAATGCACAGCATTCTTATAACATTGTGCTTTTATTTTAGTAAGAATCTGATAAAAAGTTTTTGCATAGCATGATATTTTGTGTTAGCATGGTTGTTATAATGGCGGACAATAAGGATCCGACATGCGAAGGTGCTTGCATCAGCATACATGTTTCGCTACAGGCTGCCAAGACGAAACAGAAGATCATGGATGAGAAGATGCAGATAAAGGTGGTGGAGAGGAGCCAGCAGATTGCTGTGCAGGAACAGGAGATACTGCGGCGAGAGAAGGAGCTGGAGGGACAGGTCCATCGCCCCGCTGATGCAGAGAAGTACAGACTGGAGAAGATTGCCGAGGCAACCAGGTATGCAGCACACTGTGAGTTGTTGTTACCAAGGCAACTACGTACACAGCAAGTGATCAGTTGTTGTTACCAAGGCAACTACGTACACGGCAAACGATCGGTTGTTGTTACCAAGGCAACCAGGTGCACAGCAAACGATCAGTTGTTGTTACCAAGGCAACCACGTACACAGCAATGATCGGTTGTTGTTACCAAGGCAACTACGTACCCATCACACAATCCATTGTTGTTGCCAAGGCAACCCGGTACACAGAACATGATCCATTGTTGTGTCTAAAGCAACCAGTTACACAGTACACAGTCCATTGTTTTAAATTGAGTTGTTAGTTTCCTAACCTATGTCTATTCGATTATATTTTTCAGAAACAAGGTTGTAATGGAAGCTGAGGCTGAAGCTGAAGCGATTAAACTGAAAGGAGAAGCTGAGGCTTTTGCAATAGAAGCCAAGGCGAAGGCGGAGGCAGAACAGATGGCGAAGAAAGCCGATGCATGGAAGGAGTACAAAGAAGCTGCCATGGTGGACATGGTGCTCGATACACTACCAAAGGTACGCCTACCATTTGACACTGTGTTTCTTTAATTTTGCCGACTCGTTTGTCACTGTCTCCTGATGACCTCCGAGAAGTAGGTAGCAAAATACACTCAAACCTGCATATAGAAGTCACTAAAGGGGAAAGTGTCCTTTATAGACAGGTGTTGGTTCTATAAAGGTAGTCCAGTAATGCAGGCTTAACTGTACCATTATTTGAAGAAGTATCGCTTGTGTGCGTCTCTACGCCGTCATTGAGGCATGACCCTTCTTCATTGTTTGTTACAAATTGTTTGTTGTTTGTTTGTTTCTCATTGTTTATAGACAGGTGTTGGTTCTTTAGAGGTAATCCAGTAATGCAGGCTTGACTGTACAAGAAGCATCGCTTGTGTGCGTCTCTACGTCGTCATTAAGGCGTGACCCTTCCTCATTGCTCTCCCGTGCGTAGGTCGTGGCAGAGGTGGCAGCACCGCTCGCGCAGACTAAGCTCATTACGATGGTCAGTGGCGGAGACGCGGAGATCGGCGCGGCCAAGGTCACCGGAGAGGTCGTCAGCATCGTCGGTCAACTCTCCACGGTCGTAGAGTCGATGACCGGAATGAATCTTGCGCAGGTAGAGGGCGCCACAGGGCACGCTGGTCTAGTCTGGTCGAATGATGCGTGGTGTCTGATCCTAATATTTATTTCTGCAGTTTTTTGTATGGGTGTGGATAATAGTATACAGGGATAATTGTTGGGATGATGTTAGATAGCATACTTTATCTAATTTTACACCTCTATCGCCACCAAACAAATTCGATGATGAGTCACTGCTATGATACAAGTACCAGGAGTCAATTATTATGTATATATGAATAATGAATATATGTGACATATATATATATATATATATAAATAAGTTATGCTGTTCTTATTTACTGTGCAACTGAAATCGTTTCCCCCTTTTTCTTTCAGACTGTGAAAGTTGCCAAGAAATGAGGCTTTCTTCCGTAAGGTGACGCCACTCTCCTGACTCGCTGTTTCACAAAATCCAGAGTCACACAGTAGGATCTTGCATAACGATGCGATTGTATCGCAATAGTTTATGTCACAGTGGCCTTCCTGTAAGACTGCCTTCATGTGACAATGATAATTTTGCAGGTGGTATGATACCAAGCTTGGTTTAACTGTAACGTGTGATTCCTAGATTTGTTCAGCGATGTTTTATTATTATGGTCATTTAATTGATATCGTTTTACAAGATCCTACTTTATGTGTGTATCTTATGTACACGCACGAATGCACGTACGCACAGAGACGTACTATACTCATATGTCTAGTCAATATCAGTTAATATTTATTTAGTAGTTATATTTAAAATACATATTTACAATATCGTTCGTATAGTGTTCCTAGTAACTAGTTATTTATTTTCTTTGTTTATAATGGCATGCTTTGACCTGTGCATGAATTCTTATTTATTACCTCATTTTTTTCTTTGTCCTATATTATATTTATGTGCTGAAATTGAAATTTATGTTATTTAATCTTATAATGTTATTATTCACGAGGCAGTGTAGTAGAATAGTTGAACTATGTCCTGGCAAGATAGTAAGACATTAAGTCAGCTCAGAAGATGTCAACTAGATTGTCACGTGAAAGTTTTTTGCCCACTTTCTTGTAATCCCCACCCTATAGAGAGGACAGTATTACTGTTTAGTGTAGTCATAGGCCATTTATGGTGAGCAATGAGTGTTCAGGATATCTATATAGATGTATTATAGGCTACCCACATATATATTATATTTATATCACGTGTATTATAGAATATCTATGGTGTATATGCGTAATCTATGTTAAAATCAGTACCTAAATAATGTGCTTGCAGGTGGTGTTAATTTAGCTTCCATTGTTGGAACCAGCTATGGGCCTGTTTGTTTGGGACGGATCCGTCTAATCTGGATCACATGACCCTGATCTGCCCGGACAAATGCTAATGCATTTTCAATGGGTCAAATGTCACTGTGATCTATCACAGGGTAGATGAAACTGGAAACCAGCCGTCGTGAGTCATAAGCCACCACGTTGGATCCTTTTCGATTCCACCTTGCCAAAAGGACAGCAAATTTTGTGATCTGGATCAGTGATTGGCCCAAACAAATGTACATGATCACTGGGTCTGTGTGATTAGAGTCATATGATCTGCCCAAACAAACACGCTCTATGTTAGTGGCATTTGAGATTCGTAAGATGAGTATCACGGATTTAAGATAAGCATGGCTGTACCAGTAGTAGGGCAGAAATGAAAATTAAGAAGAAGTCAGAAAGCACCAGAGCTTGGTAGGAGTGTAGTCGGACTTTGTAGATCCACGTCAATATGGAACTTCTAGTAGAGACCGCGGCTGCTTGGACACAAACGTTAGAGTTGGCACGGTTAAATCCCCGCGAGTTTTTAGACAGTGATGTCGCATGTCTAGATCTGTTCCATAAAGTTCTAGGCAGTAGTTGGAGTGGTGGTCCATGTATGCTCATAGAAGGCACACCTGTCGGCTGTTGTTTGCTCCCAGTCAACATGAAATTAGTATACCTATAACTGCACTCTGGTCGGTTTTGATTGCTTACGAGTGGCAAACTATATAAGAGAGAGAGTTGTGATAGTTATTTCAGTAGGTTTCTTGCTTCAGTGAGGGAGCTTTCAGGGAGGCTTTGTCCACTATCCCGATACTCATGTACAACACACCCTCTAGTTCCAGCTAGTCTGCCATTAGTCTCTGTCAGCGAGACTTATTTGCGCAGTAATACTGTAATAATAGTCACTCTCCACTCTCCCGTGAAATGTTGTTCCCTAACCATAGAGATGAGATGTAATGTATGCTTGTCGTTTCCAGAGTATATACCACATTAAAAACGCGATTGTAGCTATAAAGACGTGCCACTGTAGATTCGTTTAGTGTCTTAAGTTGTGAAGTCTAGCCGTGTTCGTGGTTTCTGTGAGTGATGATTTAGATTCTAGCATAGAATGTCTCATTGTACGCGGCATGTCTGAAGGAATTACATGTATGCGAGTTGAGGTCGAGCAGATGGTCTGTAGAAATTGTCAATGTATACTTATTATTCTTCAAGCGTGTAGAATCGGATAGTTTCACCATGTTTAATTTTTAGTCGCTAACGTTTTAGTTATAACGTGTAGTTGAGATTTCGTCGCTGTGGATTGAATGTGTTGTCATGTACTATTGTAGTTGGAATAAACTATCGGCACCCGTGATTAGAGAGTTTTGGCTTTAGTGTTTACTTGGTTATAAATGCACACTTTATTGGTAATTAATAAAAACCAAATCCAATTTTCCATTTCCAAGGTTCTGAAGAGACGAGGGGTTGGCGCGCTGGAGAGAGAGGGGGGGGGTAGAGATGTAGGTTAATGGGAAGAGAGACCGAGAGAGAGAGACTTGCAGAAATACCATACTTGGCGTTAAAACTTACTAATGGCGTTACAAACTAACTCATCTACCTATAAAAGCTGCCAGTGCGTTTTCTGAGTACATCTTGTACTAACAACATGTTATAAACGCACAGGAGTGGTATATTGAGGTAGGGCTGCTTATATGTTCGCATGATTAGCGCTATTTAAAGTAGAGCATATACGTGGTGCCAGGAGTTAATAAAGACAAATTAATAAATAGACTCCTGGTGGTGCCTTTATAGCTGTTTACCTAAGACAGATGACTGTAATATTGGGGCTCTGTACGTTCATCATGTAGCTGTTTATTGTATTCAACAACATTACAATATTACTAATTTGTATTGTTCTCTTCACAGTCGAGAGTTTAATGGTAGGTATTCTCCCTACATTCTAAAACTAGCCATGTATGTGTGACTGCCGCTGAATCTAGCATCGCAAGTATTAACTGATGAGGTTAGGAAGACACAACATGTATGTACTGATATTAGCGGTTTGAAAATTTACAATACACACCCGCGAGCACGCGCACCCATGCAGATTCATACACGCGCGCACACGCACGCACGCACGCACGCAAGTACGCACACATATACCCCTGGTGTCGTGTGTTTCAGGTACTCTGCATGGTGACCGATGGACGTCAATATTGCACGGCGTGTTTGTGGAGTAGCTATATATATAAGCTTGTTATCTGGGGGAGTGCATTTATGTATATACCTGTACATATACCTGTAAAATGTACATAGACGGACGCACGCAGCGGGGAATCACGCGTAGTGTGCAGATGTAGAAATATCGTGTTAAAATATGGTTTTGTTTAATACTTGCGGCCCGAGTGAGGCGATGGTCGTGTCCGGCAAGTATAACTATCTAATCCGTATTTCATGTTAAACGACGCGATGATACACGAAAGTAGAACATTATGGTCAACGGGATATTGCAAAAAATCTCAACCGTGTCCGTCCATCGGCCACGTCACGCACACATAGGGCCTATAATGGGATGTGTT